TTTTCTTTTGCTTAAAATATATATGTAAGGTGAAAATACTTCTAAGAAGTCAAGTCATTGTCAAAAAAAAAACCAAAATAAAAAAACTGAGGGATACCAATGCAAAAATGAAAAATTAGAAAGGGGAAGAGATAGAGGGAGAGAGGGAGAGAGAGAGAGCGGTTAATGGGTCGGCATTATTAAGCCTTTCTTTTTTGCCTATATGAAACACAAATGCGTGTGTGTATGTGTGTGTGTACGCTTGACAGGCTGAAAGAGAACTCTTTACTTTAAAATAGTTACAGAGGTATTTGTTGGGGCCACCAAAATAAGTAACAAGATGATTTTTTTAAATACAGGGGGGAGAGGAGGAAAGAGCCATCAAGTATATACACTTTTATGTTATGTTGGAGAAACAAATAATTAGGATTTACATTTCTATTTTGTGTATTTTTCTTTTGTTAATATTAGCCATATGGTTAGTGGATAAACAACACATTATAATAAGTAGGTAGGTCAAAACGGGGAGGGGGGAGAATCACAATAAGAAAAAGAAATAATTATCATAATTCACGCATGCACGCATATATACACTAGTTTCATTTTGACGTTATGTTTATATAAGCTGTAGTAGGCTAAATTAATAGGTGGTACTTGTCCACTGTCAAGATGTCACAAAAACTGGAGAAAATGGACACTGAGAATAGCCAAAAATAGATAAAACTACCTTTTTTTTCCCCAGTCTTTTCTTCACCCATATTTATTAAATCAAGACAAAAATATAATGTGGAGAAGAAATTAATTCCGTGATCTGCTTACTCTTAGATTTGACTATTTAGAGCGGTGCTTGAAAACTTTGGCAAGTTAATTTTCTGGTTTAAAGTAGGCAGTGAATAAAAAAGGCAAACCTATTTGAAAACGGGACATGAAATATTTTACTTTGAATAAAGAAACTGCTTTTACCGTCTTGCAACTTCCTGCCTACCTTACTGCTTTCTGAATTATTGAATATTTTTCTGGGTGGGTGAAGGGTGATCGTTTAGGAGCTATATTTTTAGTTCTACAACAAATGTTCTTCGGAGTTGTCAGTAAGCTGAGCGATATTTTTAAATGTTCAGCGAATATGGATGTCAGTAGACTGGAATTCGTAGGATTTATTTGCCCCCTAACTTATTACAATGCTCCAAATACTTCATTTAGTGTGAATTCGGTTACGAATAGATCTTGGTTTGCTTATCGGTAGATAAATAGAGCGCATCAGTCAGTACTGCCTACGGGAAATATAGTCACCATTTAAATAGTGTTCACTAGCATTGTATCAAACGCAGATTGTAAACTTCACCAGAAAGACAGAGATGTAACTAACATAAGATGTGAATGCATTCACAGAACACTGAACAATGCTAAGCCGAACTGACCATGTACTATAAATAAAGAATAATTTTTTAAAGGTACAAAGCCAAGATTTAGAGCGGAAACCTTCGTACTAATACATTTCATGATGTTTGCAACAATCTTCAAATGAGTAGCAGGTCTTTTGTAAAACTCTAAGTTACACCTCTGAGATACAAGCTGATTTTAATTCTATAGAATGAAGCTTAAAATACTAAGATGAGCGCAAACGAGAATGCATACTTCCATTTTATGCATTTATTGACTAATTCTGAATCTCTAGATAACCAAAACATCAAAAATAAGTTCGTGAATGGAAGAGACACTTCTATAGGTTTCTATTAGGGGTAATTGTACTTTTGGTAGATGTGATACATTTCAGCTATCTATTACACAGGGTGCATTTGTTGAACCTCATACTACCTGCTTAGATAACTATACAAATCCATATTTATCGCAGTTTCTGTCAAAGGCAGATACATTTGGTCTCGGTAACCATGATTATGCAAGACTGAGAATTGTCCAAGTATATCATACGTCAAAGCTTATACTGATATTATAATATAGATAAGCGCAGATAGCTTGCTTTCATAGTCAGGTGCTGGTATTACACGACAGTCGTAGCTGAATTTTTCAAGAAAATCAGATGGGGCAATTTCACACTACCAAGTAAAAGTGACGAACTTGAATATCTGAAGATTATAATTTAAAAAATGTAAATCTCACATCATATATCAAAAACCTTGAACTAGACAAGGGAACAGTTGAAAACATGTATGTATGTCAGTAGATGCCTAGAGTTAGTTTCAAACCATCAAGTCAGGATTCCGTATGCTCATAAACTTAAAATTCATGTTTAAGTATGCTCCTTAAACGTAAGATGAACTAAGCGTTCTATACCTGTGATGTATATCTATATACACATATTTAGGGAGAGACAGTGTATTCCCTTACCTTCCCAGTAGAACAAAGGACTTCAAGCTAGAGCTTTTGAATTTTTTTGACGAGGTGGGATTGCTAGCCTTAAACCCAACTCCCACTCTCTTTGGGATTTACTACCGACTAGGTGAGGTTTAGGAACGAGTCGGTCAGCAGTCAGATCTAGACTTCGTATGTGGTTGGAGAGCATTCTACTAGCAAATCACTGACCCGCAAAGACTGTCCGCTAAGTCAGTGGGCCACTTTTCGATATGTAGGGTATGTAAAATTGTTCTACCGAAAATCTAATATACGCTTTGCTGTTGCATGCGAACAACTAATTCTGGTGCCCGTGGCACAGCATGTGCTCCGGGGTTCCAACCCCGGCCACCGACGCACTCTTTTACTTCGCTAAGTTATTAATAGGACTGGTAAAAGAGGGAAGGTTGGGCACGAGGCTAGCAACCCCATCCCGTAAAAGTAAAAAGCACCACTGCTAACGAAACTTTAAGCCTGTAGCTTGGGATCATTTAGGAATAAAAAATAACGCTAATTGCGATTTCATTTATTTTACGAGCAGAATAATTCATTGTGGCCTATTGAATCGGATGCTACTTTTACGCATTTATAAATTTATTACCATTACTTTTTGATCCATTCTAATCTAGAAAACATAAATATATTTGATAAACCGTAAGCAATTCATCAGGATTGGTTAAGGACATTTGTGCTAATTGGTGATTACAGGTGATCTATTTTAATACTCTGACACAATGTACATATATAAATGAACACATACTGAGTTTATTTATATAAGACAGATGTAAATTAATTTTACTGCCCTATCAGACATACAGGTTATACAGTTGCAGGCAGCATGTTTAAAAGATTGATACTACACAATTCACTTTTATTGTTGAAGAGTTATCATTTTATTTGAATAAATAAATAAATTTAAGTCAACTCAGTCATTAAACAAAGATTTATCTATTTTCTTTCGATAGTAATTTTTCCGTTGTGCGGTTCGAATTAACGATGCTTCACATTGTTTCCCTATGCTAGGAAATCAACGAAACAAATGAAGGTATTATACAGATGCTAGATTAACTTCGCCCTACTCTCACTTTCTATGAACACTGAACATTTTACAAGCGGTAAATTGAATAGACACGCCTGCTCAGAGCTACAATACAAGTCTAATATAAAAGTCTATAATTTTGTATTTGTGAAAATAGTCTTAGATCTCTCAGCAGTTGTAACTATTGAATAGACACATAAATGAATGATGTTTATATGTTATCATGCTTCAGTTTTAGCTAGCAGTTTGTAACTCCCTCCCTACAAGTCAAGTGTCCATTTTATCGGGTGTATCGCAGCCTGATTAAACACCATCAAAGTTTGCACACCGAGATCTTTCCCAGTTGACACTAAACTGAAAGTTAATTCAAATCTTCCTAGCTAGCAACAAAACATCTTTTAATTTCTATCCTACCTCATTTCAATATCTATTCTATAAAGTGGTTTGCTTCACAAACAAACAGAGAAATTTATGTGTGTGTGTGTGTGTGTTGTTGTTGTTTTGAAAGTCAACTTAAAATCTTATCTATTTACTTGTTAGGTAAACAGAAGACTAATCGGTGACTTAATCAAGTTTTTACTCTAAGTAAACTAATATGACAGATAAAAAGAAACCCAAATGTAGTATTATTAAGAAAAAGTAACACTTGATAGATAGAAATCCCTACAGGTAAAAACGTTTCGGATAATTTCGAGAGGAACAATGATCCTAATCAGATTGTTATCATTGTAAATAAGAACAAACAGTTCAGTGAAGAGACTCTTTTCGGCGAATTCCATGTTTAAATAGATATTTCAGGCGTACTAACTGTGACACCGGTTGACCACATTGTATCATCATCTTTTATTCACTATTGTCAGCAGAAAACTTTTCGCAGCTAGGGAATCCCTAGATCAGTAGTGTCTTCTGTCTATATATGATCATGTAACTCAGTAAATAAATATTTTAAGAGAAGAGAATAGATCTGGCAAGTGTTTCACTTATATTTTATGTTTCTGTTAAATAATGGTTTATATGAAGGATGTGGAGGCCCATAAAACATATGCTGAAGAGACCTTCAAGCGACATCATACATCCAAGTTCTCGATCGAAACCCAAATGGTAAGTGACAGGTTACGTGTCCGGGAGTTACATGATGGAGACTAGGTGCGAAGTCGTAAACCGAGCTGAAACTGACGGTGGGAAACCAAGTGTAATGAAGATATACCTCTGTTCCACTCGGAATTTAAGGAATTAATAACAATAGTAATAATGCTATTCAGACTACATTAAGGAGCCCATAACTTTTGAATGAAGTTTTCATAATATGCTTGATGGTTACATGTTACTATCTCACTGTACTATTTTTCCAATAACTTTATAACCAGTACAGCTTTATCTAATAGGAGAGTAATGCAGAACATGCAGAACCACATCTAGGTAGACTTTTAAGAGGGCTGCGTTGATTTCCATCCAACTTTTGAGGTAACTTCAAGAAACCAACTCAGTTTACAATAATACGCAATCTATATGTCACTGTATTTTCTAATATTTCAAGAATATGAGGTAGTATAATTGTAAAATTAATGCATTATGTAACTTCAAAAGAGAAGAAAGTGTAATCATTTATAATGCTAACAATTTCAAAACTCACATGCTTCTTTGACTACTGTTGGTTTGCTGATGACTTTCTTTGGCCTCTGCAGTTCGACTACTTTATTCCAAGCTTCACAGTGACATACATATGAATCGAACCATTCTTCCACATCTCTAGCCTTAACCTTCATGCGTAACACCCAACGTTTACCCTCTGGATCTGGTTGATTGTCTGAATTTAACTGTGTAATTTGTAATCTTCCCGATTCACCGGGACCTTTATATGGTATTGTCTGGTCGGCACATTTAATAGCAGCATGTGAAACTGGTTCAGCTACACATTCAATTGTTGCTGGATGATCTTTCATTGTATAATACTGTGGTTTAGGATGTTGGATAAAAGAAGGAACACCTTCTAAATGAGTTTCATCTGGTTGTACTAAATCCTTTTGTGAATCGGCTAGAAAAGGATAAGAAAGAGTCAGAAGAATTTTAGCTATAATCAGAAGAAATCTTTGAAACATGATGAGTGTTATTTCCAAGCGATTTATTAACTCGAATGTGAGAGAATTTGAGGATTAATTGAATGCTCAGTAAACATATTAAAGAGTGGAGTTGAAATGGGAATTCATAGACTTTTACGGCTTCAGTGTATGCATAAAAATAAAATAAAAATTAAGCGTAGCAAACACGAGGAATAGAGTTTAGACTAACTGTCCTAAATCAACCAATCAGGAAGCCGCATGACAATTTTGAGATTTACCAATCAAATTAAGTCTGAACAACATGCAAGTTAACCAATGGTATAAACAGAACTATTTTTTAAAGATTTTAGCTTTGATATCTTTTCTGTATCTCTTTTTAATTTCAAAATACACTTCAATTCTTGGAAAAGATTTTGCTTTGACAATATGCACTCTTGTATGTTAATTACCACATAGAATAATACGAGAAAAACTCAAGACACTTTGACACAGTCACTTCTCACAACTGAATGTACTTTCCTAATACCGCATTTTGTCACTGATATCTGACAGCCAACAAGTGTCTTCAGTGTTATCGTGTAATCAATGCGAATATATAGAAAACTAAATTCCATCTGAAGTATTAACATTATAGAACAGAATTTTATATGATTAGAGGTCTTATTTATAAACTGCATTCACCAGTAAAATATCCTTATGAGACCTATTAATTTTGTTCAAAAGTTCAAGTAAAATAAAATACTGAATACATGAGTTAAGTACACTGATTATTAAGGTATTAGAGCTTGCTTGACATTGCTGTATAGCGGGATGAAAATATCTGACCCACTAGGGACTACCACAAATTTTGTGGATCACAATTAGGAATCATTAAGTATTTTTTGCGACTTCGGTAGACCTTGATGCTAGACACAGCATTCAATGGTACTGCTTCATTTCGATCTCAGATCACTTACATTTGGTAATTGTGAGTGTCATTTGAAAAAGAAACACAGCTTCAAATCTACTGGTGAAAACTGATTGGCTGCCCAATGACATTTAAAATTTTCTCGTTCTGAGGATTTCTTGTCTGATGAATGTGTTATGTACAAATTACCTGGAAATAAAGATTCATTAGCTGTTAATAAGGGTTTTCATGATATATGTACTGACGAATGGTTGTACTGCATCTTGACATCATTTCAGAGACAGACTGTGTGCGTGAGGTTGGATTCTGCCGGTAGTAATCCCTCTAGCATACTATTTATCACTTAGTGCGTCTGCCAACCCGCTCAGTATCAAGTTCCCTCACGGACTGATATCAGTTGGGGAACCATTGAAAACTGTAGCACCCCTATACCAACTGTAAACATGCTTTTTAATCTAATTTGTATTCTTGTATTATATGTTTACAAAGACCGATTTTATATGTGTACTTCGACAACATTTAGTCAATTTACTGCTGAACATCACCTTGACACAATTTTAAAAATTTTGCTACGGCTATAATACACAATCGTACTCTTCGCAAGTACCTTTTGGTTTTACGTTGTGGGCGTCGAGTAGCCACAATGTCTATGCGCATTGATAAACGTGAAGAAGTACTAGGAAATACGTGTACGCTGATTTAGTCAAATAATGCACGCAACAAAACCATGGAGTACTCAACAGCAGATTTTTCCTAATCTGCCCCCATCAGGGACTGAACCTAGGACCTTCAGTATACATGGCAAGCTGGTATACCACTCAACCATTGGGACATAATTCTATGGTCCCTGATTTCTAACTTCTGCCAATTCGCGATGTGTAGCACCTCATCGCCAGCCAATGTCATCAGCGAATATTTGTCTTCACACCCAATTTGATGGACACCGCTTGTCAAAACTTCTCATTAGAACTCCGGGCAACTTCGTCGTATAATCATTCACTACAGAGCATCAGATTACTTTTAAGCGTTAGCTAGTAGCGGTCTAGTTCAGTCTCATTTGTTGAATAACCAATCACTTGCACCACTCAAAACAGTCAGGCATGACACATTTTGGCAACTGGCATTGGCTAGTTGTGATTAAGTAGCAGCTCATTTCAGATTATTTAGCTGTAAAACGTATGAGTAAACTCTTCCCTCTAGATTCAGTTTCACTGGATGAGTTGTAAGCAGTTCCTCATATGAGAAAAAAGGAGTACATGGAAGCACACAGTTTCACCATAGCTGGTAGACATCTGGATGGTATGCCGTTCGAATCTTGCCACTAGCTTGACTTTCATTTTGTCTTCACCCGCTGCGTCAATAATAGCTGACTAACCCATGATTATAATTATTATTACTATTTCAGTTAGTCTCATCAATGAAGTCTTGTTAGTAAACTTGTTCAAAATTTACCTTAGACGGATCCTGAGCTACAGTCAAGAATAAAACGAACACATGTACCCTTATAACAAGAATTTTAAAACTTTGTAGAGTTTATTAAACAGGAAAATATATACAGAACTTCATGACTATTGTTAAAGTACCCTATGCATAGTACTTTAATTTAACCTAACAACATTTCTACCGTCTTTCATTGCATAAAACAGTAGGAATCATTTAAAGGAAGATGTCTACCCACCTTTTTTGCTTCTGTTTTTGCTATTTATACCATGATGGTGATTCATTATGAAAAGTTTTTATTTAGACGCATCTTTATAGCGTTACTGAATATTAGTAAGTAGTACAGTTCTGTTTACCATTTTTACCTAGTCGACAGTGTCCATTGCTTACAAATCATACAGTAGGCAATTAAGAAAAGCTTGAGACTGGAATAAAGTCTTCCTTGAGGAGAAAGTTAATGTAGCTGTACGGTGGAGTCTCCGTTTTGGTAGAAAGAATGAGTGAGAGCTGAGTCACTATACCTTGCTCATAACTGTTCCACTTGGGTCGTCAAACAAGCTCTCTATCTCAATTTACAAGGAGGCACTATTTCATTCTTAAATTGAAGGTATTGTTCAATAATGTTGAAAGAGGCTTGTCCTCAAAGCATCAATATTCTACTATCATTTCTTTAAGAAAGACTAACTCAGTACATGATAAACCTGCTTGCTATTCTTTTCTACCACAGTTCAGTAAATATTTTGTTTAGAAGCAATCTTTATTTTGATGCATGTTTATGTCAACATTTCAAATATGTTTACCACAGTTTAATTATCATTTTAACTTGTGGGTTATTAGTACCTGATGAGTAGAATTCAATCTTTTAATAAGTATACCTGACATTTAAATGACATTTTTGTGCACTACACTGCTTGATTTTCATCTTTGTTCGTTGAACTTTTTTCCCATAGAATTGCCATTTACTAAAGAAAAAACCAATACTTAAAGAATATTAAACAGTGGCGAAGTTTTCGATAATTCCTACGATTATTATGGTAGTCTTCTGTTTTTTTAAATCTTTGTGAATACATCTCAGTGCATTCGTATTGCACATAAGGGGGAAATGAATGCACGATTAGTTTATTTTAATTTTTTGTAACCTAATTTATTAGTAACATAATTTTTTCAGTGCATTTCATTAGTAGAGGAGAAATGCATATATTCCTCGTATTGTCTTGTGTAAAGTCATCATTATGTGACTGCTTGTGTATGTGTGTGCTATTGTTTTCAAGGTAAACAGTTCATTAACGTTATTCTTTTTTTCTAAAGAAGAAAGGTTAGTTTAAGTGCACAGAATGGCACATGTCCAACATGCTTTTCAACAAAACCTGTCAACTAACTATACATCACATCGAATAATAATGAATAATAGCAATAGAATTAAAACATTGACAGACACATCAGGCAAGGTAGCCAATTTTCTATTTGGTTACTTTTATCACACACACACACTCACAAATACACACACAAATTCACACGCGTACACTGCCAAATCTCTACGTTGACATTTCGCCTACATTTTTACACATACAACACTGTGTATACGCCATTTACTTCTGCCTAGCGCATACTGGATATGCATTCTTAAAAATAAAATTTTTTAAAAAAAACATTCGTTCAGCTTTCTACATTGTTGTAAAATATAACAAGTTGGGTTTTAAATCCACTTTTTCTCCTGAAACAAAGGAGCAGATAATTCTCCCCCAGAAAACAACACAAAGAAAAGAAAAGAGACAACTCAACTTATGTTATTTTTATTTTCTATGTTACCTACTTCGACAAGAGAATCAGTGATATAAAGGCGATAAAAAATGTGGAAATCCCTGAAGTTATTCACTGATAATAAGCACTCCCAAGTTATTGAATGGGATGGGGATAACCAACAGTTTTTCTGAAGGCGGAATACGAAAAATGACTGTAAATCTGGACCATTACGAAATTCTAGACAGCTTAAAGTAACATGGTTTCTGAATTGTTTATTTATGTCTTTTTCTAATTCTTTAGAGTTTCGACTAATAGAAGGAGGCCTGGTTACTCATTCAGTCTAATGATTAAATAACAGTTGAATATCACTCATTTACATGACAGTTGCTTTAAGCGATAACCTGGCTAGTGACTGCGCCTCTTATCTAAACTGGAAGAGCAAGTAGCTAATAATTCGGAGGCTGCTGGCTCGAATCCCAGTATGTTAAGCAAAAAAGTTTGTATTTGGAACTGAATTCCTCATTTATGCGCAGATCTGATTACATTGTGTATGCTAGCTTGCCTACTTTTCCTTCCTCTGTTTACTTAAGAATCCCAAGGGTTCCTCCAGTGTAAATACACTGGACTATTCCATTATCAGCTGAAGACCGAAGTAATGACAAAGTCATACATTAAACTATTAAATTTTGATAGCTGAAAAAAAGAAGATTACAATCAGATTGTACAAATGAAATGTAACTTATGTGTCGTAATGCAATCATTCACTGATACAATCTAAGTGAGCTAAGTGGCTGACAGTTCCATAATTGTGAAACAAAGAATTGTAAGCATCATTGGAATGTCAAACTAACCCACCACCTACCCTATCAGTATATTTTTAGTTGG